ATCACTGTCTTTCGCACCGCGCTCCTCGAGCCAGTCGTACCAACGCTTCATCTCAGGAACGATGTAGCCTATGATGTTAGCAAACATTTGAGTTGGGATGAAGTTCAAACTTACTGACTAGTGTTGGCTCCTCATAGGCATCACGCTTCAACAGTGTGACGTTCTCACGCACCAAAGGATGGGCAGAGAGATGTGAGTCGATCTCACCAAGCTCGATACGGAAGCCGCGAATCTTGACTTGCGAGTCGACTCGGCCTGTGCAGTGTACGTTACCATCCTCAGAGTAATGGCCCAGATCTCCAGAGCGGTAGAGTCTGTCGCGTGGACCTTTGTAGAACTCTCGCCATGGCTCAGCGGCTCCTTGGCTTTCCACTCTTTTATTGTCTTCATCTACCCACTTCTGTTGGTCCACAAACCAGTTGTCAACGAATTTGGTGGCAGTCAAGTCAGGCAGACCCAGGTATTCCTCGGCCAGACCACCGGCTCGCACGTATATCTCACCACTCTCACAAGGCTTGCAAACCTTTGTCCTATCTTCGCGGTTGACTACCAAAAGCTGAACGTTGTTCATGCCACGACCAGCCGGGATGACTTCACCGATGGTATCGAGGAATTCGGGCGCTTCGGAGCAGCTCGGTAGCTCGTAGTAACTGACAGCTCTTTGTGTCTCTGTGGTTCCGTACATGTTGACGATGCGTACGTTGGGTGCCAAGTTCTGCAGCCTCCTGCAGTCGCGCTTGATTAGTAGGTCGCCTACGAAGAAGGAGTGATGCAGGCTTGGAAAGATGGCGGAAGCGCCTCCCACGAGAATCTGGCCCATGGCAGGTGTGAGATGTGTGACTGTCGCGCCATATTTGCGCATCCACTCGGCGAGCTTCTCATGCTGTATGTCCTCTTTGCTGGGTACCAGTAGTTGCGCACCGAGGAAAAGTGGTGTGAAGATGTCTCGCTGGATAGGATCGTGGGCGATGCCAGAGAGCATGGTGAATTTGTCGTTTTCAGACAGTCCAAAAGTCTCGGCCATCCATGGGAAGTAATGGGTCAGCGAAAAGTGCCGGCCCTTGACACCCTTGGGCTTTCCTTCTGATCCTGATGTGAAGGAGAGTGTGGGTGTTGAGTCTGGGCCGACCAGCACTCCTGGCAGCTCGGCCTTGAGCTTCTGTTGTTCCTCCAACACGTCATGTCCGTCCTTGGAGCCTCCCACGAGGGTTCCATCGTCCTTGAGCTCGAGCGCGGGGACTTCTGTCCGTAGTTGTAGATTGTCCTTGACGTAGTCTCTCACTTGCTCTGAGATGGGACCGGCCTCGCGGGTGGCCTTGTCGATGACTACGAGTGCGCGTGGCTGGGAGACTTCGAGGTAGATGCATTGGCGGTCTGGGGGGTATCTAGTCATGTCAGTAGGTCACTCTCTATTGGACAATCTAGACTCACAGTGGATCTAGGACTGAGAAGGTCGCTCCTGCCGCCAGAACAGCCATAATGGCGACCACTAGGTCCACGCCACGATGGGCAAAGATCATGACTACCTCGCCTCTCTGCACGCCATTTTGCACCAGATGATGGGCTAGTACCGAGGTAGCTTCGAATATGTGTTTGTATGTGAACTTGCGCTCGGGTGTCTTGCTGGTAGCCGTCTCTACCACGCATGGCCGCTCGGGATGCTTGCGAGCATTGCCTGCGAAGATCTCGTGGATGGGTCCCTTGAAATCAGACCAGTGAAGGTCTGCAGTCGGATCCGGGATGCTTCCTTTGGTAAGTGAAGCCATCGTCGCGCGTACCTGTTCCTGCATGTTCAAGGAAATATATGGCGGGGTCGCGTTGTAAGTGTGCGCATGCGCGTAGATAGTTCGCAGATGTCCAATTGGGATGTGAGCGAACAGAAGAAGGTATGAAATTCAGGCTTGGAGTGACGATCCTTCTCACGGCCTCTGAAATTGAAGAAAATAAGGAGAATGCAGAGTCATAGACACCAAAAGTAACAGAAGAGGTATGACGCATTCCGTCAAAATGCTCGACTCAGGCGACATCGGCCAGGGCGACCCCCACCACCGAAGGCTCGAAACGCGTGGGATGTCTGGGTCTGGGGCGCATCATCAGCCCTGCGCTAGCCTTGCACCTCGCCCTCGCCAAACTGGAAACGTTCCCTTAGCACGACGCGTCACCCGGCGTGTCAACTGGTGCACTATCTGCAACTTCTGCGTCCTTTTGTGCCTTTTTGTCGCTCGTTACGTTTGCTTCAAAGCTTGTTCGCACCGCCTATCGGAGCTGAGTTCGCGCCGCCTTGTCTTCAATCAGCAACATCAGGCCCACCACGGATACCGGCTCCAGTAGTCTGAAAGCGCCCATGTCGCCAGTGTTGCCATAGTGTGCCTTGTACTCACCTCACTTCTACACCCGATTGTGCCATGCCGACTCAGCATACCTTCATGGGCCGGCCCATTGCGCTGCAGATGCCCCCGAGGAGGTTCCAGGTCCTCATCATCGTTCTGCTCTTCGTCATAGTAAACTTTACCTTTTACGGAACTCCAACACGCGACAGTATCCCGACCTATGACGAAGTCGCCGATGCCGTAAAGCATCCGCAAGCTCACCTGCCTGACCTGGGCGAGTTGCCAGCTGTGCCCAAACCCTTCGGCCCCTCAGCACACAAGCCACCGGTCCAGGCAAACAGTACCACGGCCAGTGCTTACGGCGCTATAGAGTGGCTCAGTGATTTCAAATGGCGCAACCCTTTCTCTTCTCGCGTAACTCTCGATGAGAACACCGCCCTCCTACCACCGCTACGCGAACGACCGCCGATTTACACCTACTACGACGTACCGAAGAAGCAGGACAAGGACGTGTCTACGGCGGAACAACGGTTGATACTGGCATGGCGACGGGCATGGTGGGCGCAGGGCTTCAAGCCTGTCGTACTGTCGCGGGCTGAGGCTATGCACCACCCACAATACCAGCTGTTCCAGCGCATGAAGCTAGATCCGAAGATCGAGTTTGAGGTTATGCGCTGGCTGGCCTGGGGGCACATGGGTGGCGGCGTTCTTGTCAATTGGCTCGCACTGCCCATGGCCGAGTACGAGAACCCGATGCTCAGCTTTCTGCGACGAAACGAATACGCCAAGCTGTCGAGGGTCCAGACCTTGGATAACGCCATCTTCTTTGGAGATCGCATCATGGTCGACGACGCGATCAAGAAGGTCATGGGCAACGAGCTGCTGAAGAACGTCACTGCGAGCAAGGATAAGCTGTTGAAGCTTGCCAAAAAAGAGGGTGGCCCGGTGGTCAACCTCCTGGACACGAAGGACATGGACGTAGACAGCAAGGCCAACGGCATCGCATCCTACAACATGCCTACTATTTCCAGCAAGTACAAGACGGTCGCTGATAAGTTTACCAACACGACGCAAGCCGAGGCCCTCGACTTGCTCGCAAACCTCGTCAACTCGCACCTCCACCTAACCTGGCAAGAGCAACATCCGGAAGGTATGGTAATCGTCAAGCCTGCACCGGAGCACACGACTGCCCTTTTACGCGAAACAACGGACATTGCGCGTAACTTGACGCAATGTCCGACTACTCCAATGCCCAAGTCGTGCCCGCCGAATCGACCAAAGTGTAAACCGTGCGATGCCAACAAAGGAATGAAGCTTCAGCTGTTCCCAGAATTCGTAAACACGACCAAGTTCTTCACCATCGGAACCGTTCCCCACCCATACACGCTAACTTCGTTACACTACACGCGCGACATGATAGACAAGAACTTCCTCCGCAACAGCGCAGCACGCGACCTGTGGATTAAGAAGCTGACGGACAAATCTATTCCGGACGATCACACTGAAGAGTACCGCGTACTCAAGTTCAAGGAGCTTGTAGCAGCAGCCCCCGCTCATACTTTATGGCTCACAGCCGAGCGCATCACCCAAGACGACCTAGACTGGATCTTCGGTTTCGGTTTACCTCAGAACGCGTCTGCGAATGCCGAGCCCAGTTCACCCAGCAAGGAGTCCGAACTCATCGTCTTCCCCCGTCCCGACCCCCCCAAGCCCATCGAGGGTATAGATATCCCGGATGAAAAGTGGATCGAGAAAGAAGAAGAGCGGTTGAAGAAGGCACGCGAGGCTATCAAGAGCAAGGACAGGAACATGAAGCTAGTTGTCGAAGCCGTGGAGCAATGGAACTTGGCGGATACCGAGGCCTGGAGGTTCTCGCGCGCCTACTCAGCGAGACGGCGGCAGGAGCGCAAGAAGTGGGAAGAGGAAGAGGCCAAGTTCTCGGGTAGTGAAAAGAAGGCTGGAGTTAGACCTGGAGAGGGTGGTGGAAGATGGACCGATCGGAGTTGATTCAGTTAGCGATTTGGGTTGTTTATAGGAATATCTATTAGCGTTCTTGGGGTATGTTCAATACTAGCGTGTACAGCCTGGAGCTAGTATCGGGTCAGAACGTGAGACTGGCTGGACCATGTCCGACTCGACAGCAGACCCAGCTGGAGTCAACATCGACAGCGGCCGTAGGATGTTGCAAAAAGAGGTGGACGTTCGCCTGCATGCGCAAAAAAAAGAAGGACAAAAAGAACAAGAACATACAACAGCGGGGATTCGCTAGTGGTCACCCACCTAACTACTAATCCGCCGGTACACTGCTTGTATATGGCTGAGCGGACGGGAAGCCTAATTCTCAGTGTCCTATGGTCGTATGTGGAAGAACGGGCACATGTTGAAAAATATATCGCAAAGCAATCCGCTGCGCCGCCTTTGTCACAAAGGAAGTGACAAGTGTTGCAAGATGACAAAGAGTGTGATAGATGGACGATGTGAAATAACATTCCACGTCTTATGCTGTGTACCTAGAGATAGAGGAGCTACCGTTCCATGAAGCAACATCCATCAGGCGTATCAGGAGATGCCGTATATCGCATTGTATTCACTTTATCTGACGACATTGCTAGTCTTGCTCGGCTGACGCGGACTACAATATTTGAAGCCGATTAGGCAGCTTACTCAGAGCTAGGTGCACTGGGCAAAATCTCCACTGCCTTGGCCATCTGCGTTGTCTTGATGGTAGACAGTGAAGCAGTACGTGAACTGGTTATTATTCCTACGAGCGAAGATAACCTGCAGTATGGTAAGTCCAAAGAATGACTAGGTAGGACGAGCATTGGAGTACTTACTCGATCTGGCCCTGCATTGGAGTCATCCCCGAATGGAACTTTGCCGCGCAAGATGGGGAACTCCCTGAGATCTAAGAGATCGGGCACGTTGCAGTCATCTGGCACAGGGATCATCTGGTAGTTGCCGTAATACGCCGGGTATGCTTTGCGAACTCCTTCTCTGTCTACATATCTCCAGTCAGCTATTGTACCACATGTCATAGTGTATCCAGATACTTACTCGGTTTACCTGTGGCTAAGTGAGGTGGTGGCTGTAAGAGCCCCACGGCAATATTGTAGGCATCCGTGATCTCCTTCACTGTATACTTCGCTTCAGCAGCGTTGTTGACTGTAGGACACGTCACAGGAACAATTTCTGCTCGTACAACGAGCGTTTTGGTGGGGAGGGGATTTGCAGCAGCAAGCGTGGCGAGTGCAGCGAAAAGAACAGCGGTAATCTGCATGATTGCAATTGACAGTATTGATGTGTTGAGGGTGCTTAACTGTTCGTGCGGCTCAGCGCCTTAATAACTGAAGCTGTCCGGGGCTTACGGCAACTCAACATGTCCTTCGACGGTACCCACAGTCCTTCAATAGTACTCACCTTACTTCTCGCCTGTCTTAGTTTGTCTCTTATTTCGTGGATGTCCTTCGGCTTACCCGCGGAGCTTGGCGGATGTCCTTCAGTCGATCCTAAACCAACGATTTACAATCGCTGCACATTTGGAGTGTAAGATTTTCATTCTGTTTACCCTACCAAGCTGACAGGGCGTAGCCGATCAATACGTAGGAATAGCATTAGTCAAGCTGTCTTACCGTCATTCCTGCATTCGTCACTTCGCTTCTACTAGGACCTTGGGTGTCCATCCACCAGTCTTGGATTTTGGTGCACTTGGGCTTACTGGCCCTACTCGAGCCATTTGGTTCTCGCCGCGGAGAAGTTTCACATTCATTGGAAATTTCCGTTCTTCTGCTATCTGGGGTTCATCATAAATTCTGCCCATATGTTTTTGAGTGAACGAACCAGTGTATATGTACATATGTTTGGGAGACGTGGCAGAGGAACAGTGATGAAAGAGATGATCGACGATTTTCAAAGGTACAGAGTTCATTAACAGCATCATCCGAAGTGAACTAAGCAAGATATCCCGCGAACAGTCTAGGATGTGACTTGTTAACCTTGCGCGGCGATCAAGTCATCAAGAGCTGCCGTAGCCTCGATCGTAGCATCCACGGCCTTTTGGTCTAAAAGTCTCCCAGATTCCCTGAAGTGTTGAAACCGGCCTCTCCAAAATCGCAGTCGTTTGACATCCACGGCATCGGTGCCGCCTTCAGCCTCCCATAGACTACCAGAAATGCGACTGTTCTTGGTGGAGGGCGACCCTGCAGCCACCACTTGTCTGCCCGCAATCACCAACCAAGCACTCGCTGCGCGAATTGCATGATGTGCATCTCGGTCGTAGTTTGTCCCAGGACCGTGCTCCATGAACGCAAAGGTTGCAAAGGCAAAATCGACACAACTGGTCAGCTGAGATGCTTGTGGAAGATCTTGTCGTGCTATCAGAGCGGCAAATGTGTTGATGTTAGTGTACATGTCCTCGGATTTGCAAGATGATAGCTGATCACCATCATGTTCATTGCCAGAGATCTGGTGGAACTGAAGGGGCCCACTACGCAAATCGTTTCCGATACCAGAAGCAACATATGGCAGCCCAGACCATAGTTCACCTCTCGACTGAGAATGTAGCTTGATCTTCTCTCCTGGCTGAACCACGACGGTGCCTTCCTCAAATACTATCGGTTTGTCTGTATCGTTACAGACGTCGGGTAGATTCGCGAGTTCGACTGTGAGATCTGCCAGTATCTCAAGGTGTTTCCGGGACGAAAACTGGCGTGCGGCTCCGAATAGAACGTGGAGTACGTCGCCATAGGCACTGGCAATGTCGTAGCAGATATCGCGACTTGGTACGGAAAGTACCCAGTCGCTGATTCGCTTTGCTGTCGCTCTTGCAGTATCGTTCTCGTCTAATACGTCCGTGTAGATCTGTAATAATGCCAGCTGAGAGGGTGCAGGCTGTGGAAATTCCACGAATTCCGCAGAGGGGTCCACTTGTCGTTGGCGTAATTCGTGAATGATGGCAAGTTGCTGAAGTTCTTTCTCTTTCCATTCTTCGGTCATTGTTGTCGCGAGCGTTCACTCAAATTGTGGCTTGTGTTGGGTCAAAAACAGTTGAAAGGGTCGCAAAGGCAAGTACGCAGGTATTGATGGATAGTGGACTTGGGTCGACCGACTGTCCCCAACCTTACCTACCCTTGTAGACGACACTGAAGGCAACAATGTCATCCACAGGCATAAGCCTCCTCACCTGTCACTGGTTCGGAATAGACGAAAAGAACTTGCCGAACCTTGAGAGCTTACCAATCGTTGCCTCAAGCTTGGCGACTGCTCTAGGCTGCAACTTGAAGAACGATGGTAGGACAGTCGATCCTGACGGAGGCGAACTTACGCCCAACTATTTCGCGCTTATACGACCGAAAGCGGAACCTCAGACCATCACTTAGACCACAGGCCCATCCTAGCTTCACGTGGGCTGACAGCGATTGCTCTTTCGAGTGATTGTGACGGTGTTGTACAGACATCATGCCCCTGGCGTGCACACCACGCTGGAGGCCTTGCAGATAGCGGCAACGCCCGTAAGGAAGGCGTGGATCTTTCCGTGCCGATAGCCATAAGCACCGGGTAGCGGCACAACAGGAAGCTTCCGGTGTGGTGGGAATGGCGGTTCTTCTACATTGTGTTGCAGAAGCCTAGTGTACTGCTGATGGAGTGTAAGACCTAGTACGGGTTAGAGGAAAGCGGGGCAAGCCTTGAGAAAGAATGACGTAATAAGCGCATTGACCAGCATCATCAAGTAACACCTGCTTGTGAGACAGCAACTTACATGGGTTTTCAACGCCGAGAACAAGAGGGAAGGAAGCTAAAGCGAAGCATTGTCAAGGCTACTCCGTTTAATCCACCACCCGTTTAGACGTTCTGTGGGGCAGAAATGAGCGCTACTCGGGTAAGGACATTGTGTCAATATTTGACAAAAGACCTCGGGAGGCTTGGCGGGGAGCCTGAGAGCCAAAACGTCCTTTTTGGATGAAGACTACCCAGGTACACCGAGTTCGATGCACGCCAAGTGGAACAGGACGGAACGCTACCCGGGCGGTATTGCGTATCGCTGGAGCCGCAGAATCCTGGTGATGTAATCAGACTGATGGACGCCTTGCGGCAATGATCTCGCGACCAATACTACGTCGCTTTTGAGTCTCCGCGCAGTCATGTCTAGCAACGATCTACCTGGACATACCCACGTAGGCTGACCCTCCTACTATATAGCGAGATGGAAGTTCTGTACGTAGACTAAGACAAAAGCCATCGCCAAATCACTGGGTCGGATCGTCACATTCCAAGATATACCAGCATGGACCGGTTATGTATCTCTTGTGCTTGCAAGATCAGTCCGGCATTGAGTGCACTACTATCGGACGTACCAACTCTTGAGAATATAGCCGCGCTCGAAGCCTATCAGTCTGACGTACTCTTTTGGAATCTCGACACAGCAAACGGTGACTCACAGACGGCACAAATTCCATTGAACATGGAGGACTCTCAGTCGACCGGACTTTGGCAAGACTGCCCAACTTTGGCAAATCCTTGGCTCAAATCCCCACGATTCCCAGCGATCGGCCATGTGCCTCATGGCGAGAACCTTGGCCGCAAGGCAGACCACTTGGATAATCCAGCGTCTCACTCTCATATCATCACAGAGACCAGCGGGCCGGCATCGCTTAGTGTCACACAGCCTGCGACGAATCGCAGCGATGGTTACCGATGTTACAAACATGGATGCGGTGGGCGACGCTTCTCCTCTTCAGAAAACTACAGGCGTCATATGCGAGAGCGCAGCCGCTCCGATGCGACAACGTGCCCTTTCTGCTCCACACTCTTCACGCGCAAAAGCAACAAGGATAATCATGTGCGCAAAAGAAGATGTAAGGGCTGGAACAAATTGTCATCTGAGCGAGTCGACGCACTGTCAAATGCCCAGTTGACAAATGATCGCCTTAAAGACGCCACAAGGCTACCCACATAGAATAAGCACTGTTTTCGGCAATGCATACAGTCGGGTCATGTACAGATCTACATTGTTGAACAGTTGTGAGCGGTTGGAGTATCTGGTAAACATATCAAGGTATCTCATCGATAGAAGTGGGCTCTCACCCAGCTTCAGTCCAACAGAGATGTTTCCCGTACTTGATGCAGAAACAAGATGTTAATAAACTTTTAATTCACGTTAACACAAGTTCGCCTATTGTGGGCCCAGCCTGCAACCTGTCTGCGACTTCAGTATGATACGTCTCATGATCATCGAATACAATGAGACAGTGTGGGGATATGACTCTATGTGGAGTAATTGCTATGTTCGCTCTAGCAGATTCAGTTGCTCTCTCATGACCTGTCTTCGATCTTCTGCGCCCTGGTTCACTTTCGTCTTACATGATCGTCCTTCCTTGAGCAACAGGATACGCTCACCTGCTTTGTTCAGCATGTCCTTCGAGATTACCAATGATGTCACCCTGAACGCCCTGTCCTTCGTGCATGTCCTTTGGACGTCATAGTTCTTCGTAATCTATAGGCTTCCAAAGATGAGGTAGCCGATCGATCTAAGATGCTTCAGCAGTGGACACAGGTGTACGGCAAATCCACGTCATGGCGAACTATGTGACCTACTGGGGGTATATAACTTGAGGTTTCTGCACTCAATCTTGATGCATTATCGAGCATCCCAACTACAAAACTCATTTCGGCAACATCTAACACTTCGTACACATACAACACCATGAAGGTATCAAGCGTTCTCACAGCATTGGTCACTCTGCTGCCATTGGTCACTCTGCTGCCATTGGTCAACGCCTTGCCAACGAAATCCAGCTTGGCTGAGACCGCGGTAAGTGCTGCAACCCAACTACTTTCACGTTGCAATACACTGACCCTAGACCTTAACAGAACAACATCTTCGAGAGGCAGGCCTCATGCACTGACATCACCTGCATCCAAGACACTGATTGTTATGCAAACCGATGCGGGAACTGCAACGTGGATATTGGATACTGTACCTGTCCACCAGAGGCTGAGGGTGGACCTTGCTAGATTGATCCTGTCGGCTGGTATGAGCTGTACGGTTTTTGAGGTTAGCTAAGATTTTCCACTCCCGTGGTATTAGGCTAATGCTTACCTAGGTACTGATCTAAAGATCATTTGATGACTGGGACGAAGAATGGTAGTAACCGGAATAGCGTACGAAATGCAAAATGTTTAATGAATGTTCACTTCGCGAGTTCAATACCATCGCTTTTAGAAAGTTGGCAGTTAATACAAGCATCTCAATAGCTATTTCAGTGAAATGCGACATTCATCTGACATCTTACCATGTACAAAATTGAGTTATCGAACGGAAAAGTAAGCTCATAAGCGCTCGGCGAATTCTTGATGCGCTATCAGTGTACTGTTTGGGCTGAGCTTCGGTGATAAAGTGTTGATGTCAAAGCGTTGATGTTTAGAGGCCGCCCGCGCGTTTGACTAGGCCGACCTCGGCACGGTCAGTTACCCCGCCTTAGTTAGCCCTGCGCCCTAGATGCTTCAGGTTACAGCCTAGGAACAACACCAACATCGACTTCCTGCCTTCAAGCATGGACGAACTAAGCTTGGTTCCTGACGCTGATAACGTTCGTCGCATTAGTCTAGTACTATCAGATGACTCGACTCGCACGACACCTGGGACTAAGCTACAGCAATACCGGGCAAGCAGGAGTCAAGATGTCCAGCCTCAAAGCGCCACTGTCGGCGCTGCTGCAACGACGCTCTGTCATAAGTGCCGCAACATGCACTTCAAACCTTATGAAGACTGCTCACTCGAGTTGCAGGGAGCGGTCATCCAATCACTATACGCGTCACTATACTATCTGCATTCTCCGGGCCTTGACTCTCTCATACAGACCGCGGACTCAGGCTGCCCTTTCTGCAAGACAATTGCGCATCGTTTTTTCATGGATACGGAACTTTGGAATGATACGCGCGTTGCCGGGGAACAGATTGTCTTAAATTTTCCCCTCAACCACGACGATCAAGGAGTGGCAACTCCGTGCTTCGACAATCTCACAGTGTACAGTTGCGAACGCAATTGGTTTTTCCAATGCGAGAGTGATCTACCAGGTAAGAACCTCTATCCCCCGTTATGAAGTCTCATTGACAGACTGCTATCTGTAGTCGCATTTCAAAAGCCATTGGCGGCGTTAGCTTCGCCAAATCCTGCGACCGGCGACAGTAATGCTGAAGACCCGATGTATTCGTACTGGACAGACTCTTCGACACTATCAGAAGCAAACATGGAACTTGCGTCAACGTGGTTTCACTTATGCCTGAGCGAACACCCCGGCTGTAGTATCGACACAAAATACACCCTACCTACCCGCGTCATTCGCATCAAAGGGCCCCGAGATCTTGTCTTAGAAGACGGCCAGGAAAGATGTTTACCTTATCTTACACTAAGCTACAAATGGGGCGATACGAAGAGATACTGCACTTTGACTGAGAACATCGCCAATCATAAGCGGAAGATACCGCTTGAAAGCCTACCAAAGACCTTTCAGCACGCCCTGTTGGTTACAAAGCGTTTGGGGTTCGAGTATCTGTGGATTGATGCACTTTGTATCATACACGACTCACCCGAGGACCTGCAAAATGAGATCAGCCAGATGGGCAGCATTTACCAAGCGTCAACAATAACACTGTTTGCGGAAGCAGGAGATGATTCTGAAGCCGGATTGTCCATTCCACGAGATCCTCGCATGTCCAAACCCTGCAAATTGGATTTCAGGGCAACCTTCGATAGCCGTGTGTTGGAAGTGTCGAAATATGCTTGTTATAACCCGTTCAACCTCTTACATACTGAATCAAAGCAGTCGCCTCTCCAGAAAAGAGGATGGGTTCTACAGGAAGAGCTCCTGTCACCACGACTTTTGAAATTCGGGTCTCGCCAACTAAAGTGGGAATGCCGACATTCTACTCTTTGTGAGAGTCTACCTCATGATCATAAGCGCAACGCTACTATGCGCCCCAAAAATCATGAACTGCGTTCTTGGATGTACGACCGTAGAGCTGCACAAAATTTGGAAAGTCAAATACGAAAGGATATGTTCAGGTGCTGGTACGAACTTGTTGAGAACTACTGCGAGCGCTCGCTCACGTACGCAAACGATGCTCTACCAGCGATCGCGGGCATTGCGAATGTTTTTGCGAAGAACAACCAACTATCGTATATCAACGGGCTCTGGAAAGAGGACCTGCCTTTGGGACTACTTTGGGCCGTTCATAAAGGCGACAGTGCGCATACATCACATTCGTCTCATCAGCAAGCTATCGATAGACCAGACGCTCCCTCTTGGACCTGGTTATCGCAGTGGGGTAAATCTATTGAGTTCGAACAAAAGCAGTTGCGACATTGGGCTGAGTCCTACGATATAACGATCGATCAACTGGGCCACGCTGATGACGATCTCGAAGAGACAGCTTATGGTCGAGACGAATCGTCTTCAGATCAAACCATGGGTTTCCAACAAGTAGACACGAGACCGCTTCGATTTCGAGGTTATCTCATCAAAGCAGATGTAGAGCTAGGCAGTTGGTCACCTTGGTTTCCACAAGCGTGGGGACGGCGTGTGACCACGCGTCATACCCGGGAGAACATGGGACTTTTCTTCCCCGACTCAGATCCGTTCAAAGAGCCCATACTGGAGGTCACATGTTGCCTTTGTGTCGTGTGTGAGGATAGACATAGCGCTGCGTATATGTGGTTAGCCTTGGTGTCCACATCTCAGCCCGACGTCTACAAACGAGTCGGTGTGGGCCGGCTCACCATTGACGACAAGACTCAGCCTTTGCCATCATATTGGGAAGCTGAGGGCAGAGCGACGTTCACTTTGGTGTAAGAGGTGGTGAGCAATATATGATTACTTTTTCGAACGCGCGGGGCGCAGGTGGCGTGGCCTCGCCCTGCGCCCATCCCCGGCCTCCAACTCGCAGACCAATCCATCTCTTAACTGTGATGCACGGTGAAACAAGTAGAGGTTAATTCTTTCGCAAACTTGAATATACTCTGCAAGGGCTCATTCCTACGTCAGCGCTCTCAGAGCCGACAGGACCTGACCCCCGAGCCCTTCAGGCGTCCACGGGTTCCCGCAGTCCTGCGATCCTACATAGCCTGCGCGCGTCTCACGCTTATCCTTTGCCAACGATCGCTCGCGCAACACAGGACAAGCAAGCATGGCAACACAAGAAGAGAGCCAGGTGGAAGACTGTAAAGAATTCTTGCAGAAATTTGAAAGATGGGCAGATCCGACCTGGGGCTTCTTCGTTTACGGCACCTATACGCGCCCACAAGGCCAGGAAGTCTCAAACGAAGATACAGATAAGGAAAACAGAGCAGGTCAGTGGAAAAGAATGCAGCCTATCGAGTGCAAATATTGATGAACAATAGATGCGACCGATGATGATGCCCACTTCCAAGCAGTGATCCGCAAAGTCTACGCCCACGCAACAGATAACCTGCGTTACAGCAACCCCGCGCCATACAACCAAAAGATGATAGACATCTTACGTCTCGATCCTGCTGCTTATATGCCTGGCGCGTCGCTCGACGTCGTCTGCAGGCATTTCCGCCAGCATTATGCTCAAAAAGTCTTCCCGGAGACAATGGGTGAACCTGGGCCTCCTGCAATACAGGACGACATTCCCGATGAGGAGAAACTCGGTCCAAAGTGGGCCTGGTGTATAGTCATCGATGATGAGGCGCTTGAGAGTTTGAAGAACGGCCCCGAGCCCATAGGAGATGTGCCGCCAGAAGGCGTAAGTTCTCTTCAACTGGCATACAATGCTAAAGAAGCATTTGTAAAGTTACTATCTGGGATGAAGACGGCGATGGAGGGGCCTGAAGTGATCGCTGCAGCAGGCCGTCCGGGTAGTGGGGGACCTCAAACAGTGTGGAATGGATGGCTTAAGTTTTCGCCTGTGGATCTTATGGGTGTCTGGATTCAGGCGAAGAGCAACGGTATCATTGATCTGTTTGACGGGGAGGATAAACTTTTTGACTGGTAGTCATCGAGGGTGATGTGCCGCATATGCGATGACAGCTTGGGTATGTACACTTGGCACTCCAATCGATCAAATCAGATCCTCTAGGCAACCATCCTTCCTTCAAGGGTAGCCGATATATCCGAACTTGCCTACATCATTTCATAAAGCCTTATTAAAACTAACACAAAACTCACAATGGCGCACCAGATATCGCTGACTTCGGTAGGAGATAATCCAGTGCGCATGTAGCGGTGGCGATGTTGACTTTTCGAAGGGCCACAAATTACATTCAGATGTAACAACGCTGACACGCCCTTACACCTTCCTAGTAGCCGTCACACCAGAATCATCTACCATCATGAGCTACGAGCCGCCTTCAAGTCCCTTACGCCCCTTCATACAGCTGCATACACAGCTCACGCCTGCTCAAATCCAACTCATCCAGTCCCACGAAGATTTCGGCGAAGTACGCATCCCAATCAGCGAACTCAATCTCGCAAGTTTCCTCCGCAATCAGATCGATGTTGAGGCTCCATCAAAAGACGCGCAGACGGTATCGAAGCTCGTCGCCAGACTGCGAGATGCAAAGGCTGCCGATAATGACAGCAGTGACGGTGGCGATGGCGTTTTGATCCACATCCTAAGCTTTACGGTCCTTGGCGATCAGAGCGGGGAGCTGGTTCCAGAAGGTCGCATGTTACTGTGGAAGTGGGCTAAACCTCAAAGTCAGTACCGGAAGACCGGCTCCTGGAGCCATAGCTTGACACAGGTCCTGGTCGATGCCGAGTGGAACACTGGTAAACATATCACGATATACGTGAAGGCTGTTGAAGAGGAGGAGTATGAGAAGGTGTTGAAAGGCGAGAAGAAGAATTAAACGGAGTCACTTGCACTGAGAGCAGATTGCAAAACATGATAGCTCCTGTAGCTCATCAAAAATTCCCGTTCTGTGTCACGTTACTCTCGACCATTCGGGTCCAAAGCTGTACCTGAATCTTCTACTCTCTGACTTTCCGGGCTTTCTTGTCAGACGTAGACAGCTTGAACTTTGATGCAATTTCAGAATCCATCACGGCCTCGTATTTTCCACAACTTCTTCACTGTCATCCACACCAGTCTCCCTATTTCTGAGTCTAATGTGAGCCTCGCGGTCTTCCTCGTCGGTTATCGACAACACCCTTCTGTGAAACGGTAGCAAAAATTGCGCGATTCTGTCGCCTTTCCTTGCATTGATAATCACTCTCTCGTAGGCACGAAGATTTGATGCGCGCCGGCCACAAATGGCATTGGTGATATCTCCTTGTGCAACATCTTGCGAAAACTCTTCAACCGCTTTTACTATATCCCTTGACGCCTCTCGCAGACGCTTCCAAGTAGAATAGGGTACGTATCGCTTGAAATGCTTCGATACATGTCGGCCATATGGATCAAAGCTCCCAACGGAGTAGGGTCCGTAGAGATACAGTCTTCTGATAGCCATAGCATCGGATGTGTGCCCCAGGTCTGCAAGTACAGCAGGTATGTTGAGCCAGTGACGGCTTGAATGATTTGATAACTCTAAACATCAAGGATATACATCAGCTTACATATGACTGTGTTTTGTGCGTCAAGACCTACCGTGGCTTGGGGCCCTTAACAAGAATCCATCTGCTTGGGTACATGGCGATGGCCGCTCCCCGACTGTAGCCATGAGATCCCAATGCGCGATCTGAGCTCGTGTCCCGACGAAAACAGTGCCAGCACCCTTGGTCATTAGGACTCTTGCGGCAAGTGTCAAGGCAAATAAGTGGCAGTTCTTCTCTTGAATCGTGTATCCGCGGAATTGACTCAAAACGAAGTGGGCTAAACCTTCTATTTGAGTCAAATTGAACTGAGTCTGTCCAATTCCAAATGCAATCATGGGTACATGTCTGTTGCTGGCAGCGTGTGCATTCAAACGATGGACATTGTCACAGCGGATCTGCCAATCGATAGACTCAAGCTCGGATTTTGCTCGCTCCAGGGTAAAAGGGTCGACTTGCAAACGAATCCCATCTTTGGGCAGCACTAGGTGGAAAAAGCTACCTTGTGAGTAGAGGGACCAGTGCTTGAAAGAAGCTGGCCATTGCGGGTGCGGAACACTAACAAGATACACATCGTGTGTGGGGGATGCTGAAGTTCCATAATCGGCCAAGGCTGGGTGCCATTGGATTGCGGACGACAGCTGTACCAGGTAAACACTATGAGACCAGCCTGCGGGAAGAATTTGGATACTGTTAAGTAATCCTCGAAGTCCCTTTCTTTTCCTCTTTTTGCGGAGGATGTCGTGGAGCGTGTCCAAGTAGCTGGTGAGATCTGCTTGTAGAATTGTTTGGTTGGTTGGCCCGAGTCCGACCATATTGGATGCGCTCAGACTGACTGATGGTAGCTGTAAGGATGGGTCGGCCCCGTAATGTGATCAAAGACGATCCTGGCAGGAATGATCCAAGAGAAGCAGGCAGTGGGAAATGGGGAAAATGGTTGCTGAACCCCAGCTCGTTTCGCCATCTAAGCGATCGACACCCCGTCTCCATACCTAGGTAGATGAGATTCCTCCATATTTTTGACAGAGCGTGGTAAGACTAGTCGGCGGCTACGGGCTTATCCGGTTTTGCTATTCTTGGCTCTACCTATGACAGTTCTGTACAACCTCAACAGAGACTGTGATTCGACAGCCAGGATGCGGGGGAGGTGATGCTGCCTAAAATGATGTCGGTGGCCCTGAAGGTCAGACCAATGAGACAGATTCACTTGAGTAAATTGGTGGGGTATTGATTCCAGGTAAATTCCCCGTGTGATCGTCACACCTTCCCCCGCCTATTGCTGAGCAAGCCTCTGAACACAAACTACTTACACGACCTTGGAATCATGTTCAAGCGTAAAAGTCAGGCGCGCGCCCATCGCTCAACGTTCCCCGATTATTACTTTCCAATTTTCCAGCAATGTAGCTTGACTGACTACAACCCGAGCTCCTACAGATGCGAAACAGTCCTGCCCGACCCCCCCGATCCTTTGTCGTCCTCCCAACCTTCAGCGATCGAGACTAGAGGGAAGCGACGAGGCTACGATGCCGCCGACCACCGTTCCCCAGATACTACAAGATGGTGGCAAGCGACTGTGCCACATTCGCACACAACTTTCTCATCAGAACTCTCACTGTTCTTTACAACGAGGGCCAAATCGAGAAGCCTAAATTTGATGACATAGTGGAGAATCTCGTTGAACACAATCATATCAAGAATGGTCCCGTAGGAGAATCGGAAGCCGCTTCCCGTAGGGACAAGGCCTTAGCCGAATCGGGTGGAACTGTTGCTGGAAGTTCAGTCGCAACAGGATACTGAACCACATGGTCAGTAGCCAGAGTGCTGTTGGGCGAGAAGAAGACTTGGACCGGGTTCCCTTGGGTTGATCGTAGGTAGCGCAGTGTGTCTTGGTGTGAGACACCTCATGTTAAAACATGAGGAAGGAGTGACCGTGCTTTCTCGATATAGCTCACCATGGGAAGGCGCTATGCTTGATTGGCATTAGGCTCATTGAGCGCCGAAGGAACATTTTGTCCATCACTCATTTCCAATGCGCAAGTGAACGTTAACGTTATGTATGCAACACTTAGTACCAGCGTTATCTATAAGCCTATTTTTACTGAGGACCCCATCTATACATCCGGGACCATCTAACCGTGTTCAAATACGTGAGCAAAAGCACATCCCTCATCATCTCTCCAAACCAGACGCAACTACCCACCTCGCGAACCACTACTACGCTTCCGCAGCAGCGGCATCGACGGCATCTTCGTCAACCGCCTAACCTTCGCCAACGCTTTCGGACTCGGGGTCAGGCTCGCAGTCGGCGTCTTATCCTTCATCGCGTTCTTAGACTCCGCAAGGACCTCACCCCTACCAGACTTGTGTGGCACGAGGAAAGAGTCGAAAGTCGTCGCTGGGTCAGCTCGGAACAGCACTTCTTGGTTCAGAGGGCTGCGTACATGGTTCGAAGAGCTAGACGATGACGGGCATGATGGGCTTGCTAGAGGCGATATACGACGGGTGTTGTATGTGCTCGCGCGAGGGCTTGACGGCTGGTAGAAGTAGTCTCCGCTGCTGACTGCACGAGCATGTGAGTAGCGACGGTTGCGTGGCTCTTCGTACTCCTCAGGTTGTGCATTTGGTGTTGACCGGGGCAGCGGAGGTGGCAGCATAGAAGAGCGAAGGTCGTATGTCGACTGAGAAGACTGCCAAAACTGTGTGCGACTATGTTCCTCATCCTTCTCATCGTCAGTTGTTTTCCTAATCCGAGGTATGTGCACCATATTACGCACCTTCTCCTTCGTCTTGGCTTCAGCGCGCTGGCTTTGCTGCATTTCGTGCTCAATCTCCGCGAGCGCGATTATCTTCTCTTCCAAGGGCATGGCCTGGGGTATCAAGCCCCTGCGAACCCCATGGTGAGTGAAAAGGCGCTCGTCCGACCACTCTTGGAGGTTGTGGTTCTTCTCGCCTTGTGCGAGCGCTTTCAGGTCCTCTACAGACAGCGCCTGAGCGTAGTAGCGTGGTTTCGGCGCGGGTTGCTCCCATGAGTAGAGCGACATAGAGTCGCTTGAGTAACGATGCGCGGTCGAATCTGTAAGGCAGTATCGAGGTTGCGGGCTGGTGTTTGTAGAGCGATTAGTCGCGTTGCTAGTCACGAAAGGCGTCAAGAAGTCGGTGTGGAGTGGATCAAAGTGCTCTTGCAAGGAAGAAGTGAAAACAGGTACTGCCACTGGCTGCTCAGACGGCTCACTCAAATTTGCAGCGACATTGTACGAGGTAGAGTCCTCTGTGCACTCTGGGACTGTGTGGGTCAAAGGCTCCCGCGGGATCGCATCAAAAGAGAAATCCGAAGCTGCATCAGAGTTGTCCACTACGCGCGGCCAGTTTTCATCGCCAATTTCATCATCATATGCCTTCATCTTCCCTTTCGCAGATGCTGTAGGCTGTGCGTAGCCCATAAGCGCGGTTGACACTCGTTTTGAGACTTGCGAGGTGAAAAGAATATATTTGTATTTCGCAAAAGTCCCTCCAAATGGGTACGTGTGGTGGATAGGAGATGCGTGCAATATTGAGCTCGCAATGATGAAGACACCTTTCTTGGAGCAAAAGATACCTGCTTATATGCGCGCGGGCAAAAATCAGTGTGAAAACCCATCGTCTGTACAATGCACTTCTAGGGTAGAGGAGCCTCCGTCATTCACAATGAATGATACCTTGATAGGTGAACAGAGCAAGACGCCCAGAGAGCCTTGTGCGAGGCACCGGCCCATAATTCACTGCCATCTCCCTAGCTCCTCTAATCTCATGCTGGGCCTTCTGCCTTCGCTTCTTCTTCATGCATCTTTCTCTTCTCTTCCTCGGGTGTTCACTGCCTCCTCGCGGATGTGTAAATAGCTGCCATACAGCTCACTTCCGACACTTGCCTTCACTTCGTGCGATGCGTCAGCCGAGGAAGTATGGACATGGCTTCCGAATGACATCGTGTGTCAGATGTCTCAGTCTTGCGTCGCCGTTTGGCGTACGAATGTTTGTTATTTTGCGTCCTTTCATCCATCACATTGATCATATGTAAGCCCAGTAGAAAAAGCTGAAGAGTATGGTAGCGGCGCCAATGTACGCGGATGGAAGAGGTGTGTGCCGAGTTCCGAGAGAGGTGGGGTCGAATACGGGTCTACGGTCATCGTTAGCTCATGTTCCTGACTTGGCGTAACTTCTGAATAAGGCAAGAATATCATCGGTACGCAATCTGCCGGCATATGACAGGCCGCTTGGTTGGACAAGGTGTGGACTTACTGCTTCAGGTGCAGACCCATGTCGTCGATGGCATCGCACTTTTCCCACTCAGTCTCGGGAATAGCTTCCATGGCCACTTCATTTTTGTCGTTGAAGCTTAATCGCTGACCTTCGCTTGCGCCGAATGAGTGCCAGTCCGGGCTCTGTAGCTCTGAGCCTTTGGAGACTAGATACTCTGCGGCGTGGGTGTTTGGGTCATAGCTTCGTATGAATGATGCCCAGTACGCCTGGACAAAGACACCAGCCGCTGTTGTGGCATTGTTCCAGATTGGCAGGAGTTCGCCAACGTGTGATGCAGTTCCAACATTCCATCTGTACTGCCAAGTCGGGTTCGTGTTATTGAGAGCATATGTATCAGTAATGTTGAGACTCGGACAGTTATAGCGGATATAACCATAGACATCGGCGGTCAATGATCTCCAGCGAGCGTCGCCAGTGGTTCCAATGTTGCCATCCCAAAGCTTACGAATCGTGTCCCATTTTAGACCGGGGTATTGATCAACTAGGAAGTCTTGAGCTCGAGGTTGAGACATGATACTCTTAGCCACAAAGTTGATCCCGTCGTTTGTGGCGGTACCGAAAATAGTAGGCACGTTGACGAAGTGGCCGGCCTTCAATTCGTTGAAGGTGAAGTCTTTGATAAAATCGTAGTCCAATGTCGGGTTCCAGAAATAGAGCGGTGGGTTCTTGCCGCCTGGAAAAGGCTTCAGCAGAGTACGCACAGCATCCTGAAAGATGACCGCATCCAAGCTGGCCATGCAGTTGAGATCCGCGCATCCGGTTTGGTGTAGTAGCTCATCATACTGCCATTGGCTATTGTCTACGTCTCGCATGGACGGAAAGGCTGGAGATTCAGCAGCAGCAGCGTGGAAGAGGCCATCGTCTCGGCCACCGTATGCGGTAAGTTGGAAGACCACTGAACCCCCACCAGCACTTGCGCCTCCAATGGTAACGTGCCCCGGATCGCCTCCGAACTGCCGAATGTGCTTCTGAACCCATTCGAGTGCCTTCCTCTGATCTTTCAGTCCGTTGTTCAAGCTCAGGCTCTGGTTTGCAACAATCTCTTTGCTAGCCAGAAATCCATAAGGCCCTACTCGATAGTTGAAGTTCACCACAACCATGCCGTCGTCGCCGGCATCGATCAAGTCTGCACCGTTGTAATTCGCATTGCCGTTCATGTTGAAGCCGCCGCCTTGGATGAAGACATAAACCGGTAACATGCTTTTGTTGGTAGCTCTTTCTGGTGCAAAGACGTTAACGAACAGGCAGTCTTCCGAGTGTTTCCCCCCGAACTCGGCTGTCAGGCTGCTCTTGGTGCCGATACATAGGGGTCCAAACTAAACTGCTGTTAGCGTGACGTCAACAAACCGTGAACACGATCTGTACCTTTGTAGCGTCAACAACATTGCGCTCATCTTCGGGATCTTGAGGTGCAGCAAATCGAAGTCCATCTAAACGGGTTGGACTGCGGGCATATCGCATACCAGCCCATCGTATGACACCATTGCCGATATCTTTCCCACGATATTGCGCGTATCCAAGGTCGATGGTCTCCTTCAACGCGAGGGCTTGCTGAAAGAAAAGCGCTGCACAAAGCAGCAAACGAAACATTGTCGACAGCTGTGTGAGAAAGCGAGGAAAGAAAGGCAGCCGCAAAGTATCTTGACAATCTGTATCGTGTTCGGCCGCGCTGCCCCTGGTTGTCGCCGAAGGGTCGTTCCGATACGAGCTATGCTATAGTGCGGCAGGGCTATGGTAGATCGTTGTTCTAGGGGAACGAGATAGAAAAACAAAGGGAACTTGACAATTGCATCATAGTTTCATAGCGGGAACTGGCGTGAGTAGGCACTATTTCCGAGGCATTAGCATTCACGGGTGGCGTCTGTTGGCATTGTGTGAGTACATACCGTGGGAACGATCGGTGACATTAGCATCGTGCTGCTAGCAAACGTAAGCTCGAGGGCTGAGTCGGTGGTAGAACAACTCAGGTCCACGTCACAGAAGGGCGGACTCCGCGGGTATAAGAGAGCCCGGGCGACTTTGTTGTTGGTCTTACCTAGGTACCTCCCGCTGCATTGCTCAACACGTACCGCCGCCAGCCACAGCATCAAGCCAGGGTAATTCGAAATCCAGACCATTCGCATGCATGAGGATGCGACAGACACTGTGACTGGGTAGCCCTAGACCTATGGGAAGTGGATAGTGCTGACCAGGATGACTTACCGACAGGTCGTAGCGCGCGCTGACGGTGTAATTACACCGAGACCATTACTGCACGATTCCAGGGCTGTGTTTCGTTGGACACCTGAGGCCCGCGGAACTCAATCCGGGTTGAGGACGGCGATAGGGGCAGTTGGGGAGATGCAGTATGATGGCTAGCGCTGGACGGGACGGCAGATGAGGATTGACGACGACAATGAGATCAGATCTACGATGGAAGAGCGGCTGGCGGGCGGCCAGCGTTGATGATCAGAAAGCCATGTGGGACCTGCAGCTAAATCCATGATGCGAAAGCTTGATCACTCCAAGGATGATAAGCGACATCCTTGCCGGCTTCCCCCCAAAGGGCAGGATCGGCCCTGCCACGCCCGTCCAGCACGGCTGAAACCTGGGCACAGGAATGAAACCACCATGGCCTTGCACAACACACCCGCCCTCAAGAAATTTTGTGGAAACATTCATGTTTCTACAATCCAAGGTTTTCGCTCATTGCTTGGCCTCATCATCGCGAGTGGTGGTGCTGCGCAAGCTCATGTAGGCTACTTGGCTTCATCGCGATGCCCGAATGGCGTTCAACAGCCACGTCGAGACGTGCTTGGCTGATCCTGTTGCAACTCTTATGAACGCCTAGGTACGCCCCGGCTGCATTGTCGGCTGTCACCTCAAGTGTGCTGTGTGTTGTTTAAGCACTCGCCCGGCTGGAAACCTGCTTGTCCTAAACACATGGTGCTCCTCAGGGTCCAAGTGCGTCATTAAGGTTCACTCCAACGGTCGTGAATCAATAAATTTCATCCACGGTTCAGCCACAGAGAACCAAGCAGCAACTCTTCAATTTCGGAAACCGAAAGTCTACCGAGCACGGATAAACCCCGCATCCAAGCACCAGAGCGCTGTTAGATTCGGTGATCCGGGGGAGTGCACTGCCGCGGAACTCCAAGCTATCCGAACGCCATGCAAGCCACCAGACCAGAGTTGTAGAACTTCCACCACTCTTACACCTCACTATATATATTTGAGAATTGTTCTACAGCACATAAAGGGCGTTTGGTACATGTTCCGCAATTTCAAGATACCGAAGTCGGAGCTTACCTCAGGATGTCGTACGAGGCAACCGCAATCTATGCTGTTCTCTCGATAACGCTTCTTATGTGTACAAAGCGTAGACTATATGCACTATAGTTAATTTTGGATGCTTTGGAAAAGGTATCGCGGTCGTGATGACATTGCTACTGTTCAATGCGCGTATCCTAGGATAACACATAATCGAATCTTCTCGCGCTTCATCATGTCCCTCAAGATACCCAAATGCCTCTTTCGAAATGATGACAGAAGCATTGGCACCCTTCTAGTCATTTATGGCAAATACCTGTTCTTCGATTACCACCCTTTCTGATCCTTCTGGGTAGGCGCAGGTATGGTTTCTCACCTGTATGCGTTTCGAAAGCCATCAGATCTGGAAGGCAACTTATACGCATCGTAGAGTTGGTCTTTGAATGTCTTTCATCTCCATACAGCGATATGAACACAAACAAACGTCGCCTTCAACTTCCCTAGTATATACATATCCACATCGTCTGTACTGCTTCTCTCACGCCCCCTCAAAAATCAGTAACCCTCCCATTATAACTCCAATCCCCCGTCTTCCCCGTACTCCCCCACCTAAGCGGCTCATTCTTCGGTCCACCCACCTCTCCCGTTTTGGGATTAACATCGCCCTCAAACTCCGGCGGCGCCCCTCTCCTCATGTTAGGATGGAACTCCTCGCCCTTCTTGATCTGTTTGCCATTCTCGAATCTAATCTCCGGTCCTTCACTACTAGCACTATCAGGCGACTGGTTTATCTGGGGTCGAGACGCCGAGGCTGGAGACGCGGGTGTAGGAGCAGAATCGGGCGACTGGTTGATGCGCATGCGGATGTTGGGGGTGGAGGTGGGTGTTTCGATGTCTTTGGGGGTGCTGAAGGCGCCGGTGCTCTGCTTTTGTAGCTTTTCGAAGATTTCTTGGTCTTCTTTGGGGAGGCGTGGTGGTGCTGGGCCGGAGCCGAAAGGTGCTTGCGCGTGTCGGGTGGAGATGCTGAAGGTGCGGCGGGAGAGCTGGCGCGGGAGGCGGGTGATGGTGCGCATTGTGGCGGCCATTGTGGGAGTTGCACAGGTACAAGGTCTTTTGTGAGATACGTGGGTTGCACAAGGTATGTTGCGTGGGGAGTGGAAATTGTTTGTGAGTCGATGGCGAAGACGACTTTCTTAACTGTCGATCTGGGCCGCGGTTCGTACGAAGCCAATCGGAGCCTTGCAGTGGCAACGGAGGTCGCATTTTCGTAGATCGTGGACAGGCATCACAGCATTCTACATATCTGAATGTACAGTTCCGAATTATTATCGTGATATGGAATGACCCCAGTACATGTTGCGTGTAACTTTTCAGAAAGCTATCGTCCCTTCTGGGTGAAAACGCCCACCATCCTCTGCATCCAAACGCCAGGCTATCGTACAAACTGCAGCACAACCTCTACGAAATGTATCCATTCGTCTCGCCCAGTGCTCGCGCACTCCTTCCTGCGTCCAAGAACAGGCTTTGACATTCCTCCACATCGTCCACCTCGATTTGCTTGTTCTCCCGTCCATTGACCTCTGCCAGTACACTTGCGGGTGCGAGAAGTTGCAGCGCGTATCGCAGACTGATCTTCTCACCAAGAGCGCTGACTTTCTCCTTCGCAGGCGCAGAGATGTTGAGCTTCTCGGTTGTGACGCGCGTGGAAATAATCGACTTGATCTCTGCGGGTCCGTATGGGTGTGTCGGGATGATGAGCAGACGCGCGAGGAGATCGGTCGGGATACCGTGCGCTGAAGGAGGAAGGTTCTCTCCGCCACGAATATGTGTATTGCCGCGGTTCGATGCGAGGATGACAAGAGGTGACAGAGGGGATTCCAGAGCGCGGTTCAGGAATGTGAATGCCTCGAGATCGAGCATGTGAACCTGCGCATGTTAGCTGAGTCCATAGGCCAAAAAGTAGTGTCTTACCTCGTCAATGAAGAGCACACCGGGTACTAGGTCTGCGATGCCCTGGTCGATGTACCTGTTAACGACCTTGTTGATCTCCAACCGTAACTTCTCGGTGATCTCAGTCTTCTTCGGCTTCATCAACTGGCCCATCATGCTCATGATGTCCTGACCACCTTGCGGCCGCGCGTTGGCGACATCTAGGTCGTGCAGGGTGACGTCCTGAACGATCTCCTTCTTCTTGTGCACATCGCCCTTGGGTATCGGGACGTATTCCTCAGCCTCAAGGTCGAACTCAGTCGCGTAAGCGTCCGATCGTCCGACGCGCTTTACGGCTCCTGTGTTGGCTTCAATGTAGATGACATCGCCCAGACGGACGCGCTCCTTCTGTATAGCCTCGTATATGGATGGGTCGAGTCGCAGCTTCTTTGTGCCCTTCGCAGACTTGAGGTTGATAAGGAGGTGCGAGATGGTGCGGCCATAGCCTCCGAGCGGATTTTCGGCTTCTTCAGGCGTGAGCTCTGTCACTTCACCTTCGTAGACCTCCTTGGTTTCCTTCACGCGAAGACCTGTTCCAATGTATCAGTACAGTCCGTGCCCATAGATCAAGTGAATACGCACCTATCGCTCTTCTGAAGTTCTCCATGAGCGCTTCGGTCTTCTTGACCTCCGCAGAGTAGATCTCGCTGCCAACAATCGGACAGAATGGCACCTTGGTACCCAGCTCCTGGCTCACAGCCAACGCCAATGCGGTTTTGCCGGTTCCGGGGCCACCTGCGAGCAGCACGGCTCTGCCTGACATCTTCTTCGCTTTGACGAGGTCGACGACTAGACCACATGCCTGCGCCAGTTAGTACCTAGGCTGAACGAGAGTGTGTAGGGCTCAAGTACCTCTCGTGCTGCAGCTTGGCCGACGAAGCCGCCAGCTGAGGGAGTTGCGCGTCCATCGCTTGATAGACCTAGTCCTTTGATATGGGAATGCGCCGCGGTTCTGGATGAGCGATCGTGCGTGCTCTTGACTTCGCTGACTGGCACAGTCGTCATTTTGGTGTCGCAAGCGCTCAATTCTACGGAACGGCAAAGATTCGCAATCGGGGTGTCGATGGCAGTCGCGTGGGAAGGGTGGTGATGGTATGTACAGCTGGGCGCGCGTTGTTTGGGGTGTCTTGAGCTCGAAGTTTTGGGAGGGATGGCAGTTCGCGAAAGGCACAGCTTAGCGCGTCGACCGCAGCACCGGCGCTCTATGTCAGTCACCCGCTGGAATCCCCACCCTCCGCCTCCACTCACAGCAGCAGGGCATTCACACTCCCGGGCCTGTCTCAGGGTCGCCCGCCATACTGCCTACATTCTTGCTATCGCTCCAGCCTCTGCACTGCACACGACCGTTCACCAGCATTTTCGACCATCGCGCCTTCCTCATGGCGTCGCTGTCTATTCCCGTCACACGACGTCGCAGTCAGGGTCACTGCTTGAGCGAGGCGCCCAACACAGCGTACAGTATCTGATCTCCCTCTTACAGCGTCTGAGCCTGACAGTGCTACAGTCTATCGTCCTTGGGAGCATACCCAGCCATGTGCGCGCCCTGAGTACCGCCATCATCATGGTCACCCCTCGGAACTTCCTCCCCCGAACATCCAGTGGCCGCTCCTTCACCCTGGGGGAACACGGGCTACCTTGAAAACACACATGGATATGCGAAAGAACCATACAGGCGAAGCGACACACGATAGCGGTTATCCCTTTCGGCCAGCTCCACAACTGCGCCGCATCCACTGGCATCCACTGGCATCCACTGGCATCCACTGGCATCCACTCTCGAGGCCTGCCGAGCCAAGACCACAAGCACCGTGGAACATCACACGCCGAGGCACAACGCACATTTGGCAATATTATCTGGATTTTGTTCTGGGCTGCCTACCCGAGCAGCATACTCATACAGCAAAAGGATACTCGCATGTCCTCCATTTTCAGTCGAACCTCCACGCCAAGTGCCACTTGGGGCTTACAGCCCATGCCTTTGACCAAAGGGACCTAAAAAGACAAACCTCGTCACTCGTAATCCGTTGTCGGCATTGGTACCATGATCATGGCACCTCTAGGGTGTGGTCGGTGTGCAAGAGAGAATACTATACAATCGATGTGGGTTGTTGTGTATGGGTTTGGTGGTGAGTTGACGCCCTCCGACTTGAGCAAGCACTGACATTGCCTCAGTTCTCCCTGCCATCAGACGCCCACGTTCCATCATGTCAAGGAGAAGGAAGGAGATTGGACCAATCATCGAATCAGGACGTCACACGAGAATAGCAGGACTTATGGACGGAAGATCACTCCTCCTCGCTCTCGGAGCCGCTGTCGTCATCATCGCTCGAGGCATCATGCACTGCAGAGGTTAGTGGGTGATTGAAACGTGCACGTACTGACGACTCACCAGGCGGAGACTGGCTGGATCCCGACGCACCGCCCTGGAACGACTGCAGCTTCTCCTGAATCTTGCGCATGTTGTCCTCTTGCTCGCTCTTGCCCATGGGCTTGTTCTTCTTCGGTCGGGCCGCTGCCTGCTTCGAGACCTGCCTCGGCGGTTCAAAGTCATCATCGACCACGGCACCTCCCTTAGAGCTACGCAGAGACTTGATAAACCTCAACAACTCGCGGAGAGTATCATCGTTGATCTCGTCCATATCGAGCTCCATCTCATCATCATTCACGGTAGCAAGGTGCGGGCAGCCGTTTCTGATGATCTGGACCGCCTTACGCATATCAAGATCGCCGAGCGTACTGATACCCTCTGAAATCTCCTGCTTCTGGGCGAAACTCAGAGGCGCAGGAGCCTTTGCCTTCTTGACTGGAGCAGTCTTGATGGGCTTGGCAGGAGGCGGCACCGCAAGGGGTAGAGTCTTCCTCTTTGCTGGTGGCGCCACAGCCTTCTTCTTCTTGCCAGGCAACTTGGGAGAAGCACGCTTGCCACCCGTCTGTTGTTGCAGAAGTTGTTGCGCTGTGGCGTTCAGTTGAGCAATCTGTTGTTGGATTGCAAGGAACTGCGCCTGAGCAGGGTCTATCTCCTCCTCCTCTTCGTCTTCCTCATCTTCCTCATCGGAATAGAGGTCGCTTGGCGAGTGCTCAGGAGCAGGCGCATGCTGAGCAAGCCAGTCCGCCTTCTCCTTCCACAAGCTCTCGAAGAGATCTTCCATCTTGTGTCCCATCTGGTTGACAGCATCACCTTCAGGATTAAACTTGTAGCAGTTGTGGAAAACCAATTGCGCATCCGCGTAGAAGTCCTTGGCACTCTGGTAGACACCGTTCTTCAGATTCTTCTCGATCGTTCCAAAGTCCATCGGCTTCTTGATGATCTTGAGATAGGACGGGATGTTGAGTGCCACGGGATCTACGGGAGCGATGAATGGGTAAGTGACCGCACTGTACTTTGGCTTCATGAGCTCGGTAAGGACAGACTCGCAGAACTTGAGTTCTTGTTGGAACTTCTTCCGTCTCGGCTTTGCGTTGGTGTACGGCAAATCCTTCGACGGCCTGTGAATCTCTCGCTTTGGCCTACCGTCAGTGGTGGACGAATCACGTCGAATCAGTGGAGTGCCGTCTTGCTGAAGAGGCCAGGCAGCCTGAGGCGACGTCGCAGCCGGAGTAGCGACAGCAGGAGACTTGACGTTGGGCGGCGCAACGCGAGACTCACGTCGAGCCTTTTGCGAAGTGCTCACTGACGGCTTCTTGGCCTTTGCTGGCTTTGGAGGCTCTTCCGCAGCAGCGCCTCGGGGCATCTTACCCATGCCTTTCAAGAAGTAGGCGCGAAGGTTGTAACCTGCTTGCGTTACAGGGTGCTCCTTGTTGTTGAAAAGCTCGCTGTTCGTGATCATCTGATCGAGATCTGCCATGAAATCCCTTACGTAAGTGTACTTTTTGTCCTTCAGCTTGTGCTCCATAGTCGTCAAGTCCATTGGGTTCTTGACAATGTCGGGATAAGTCGGGATGTTGAGGGCTACAGGGTCAACAGGATCCTTGAACGCTAATGAAACCTTGATCTTCTTCGTGTTCCTTATCCGCTCAAGAAGAAACCTGTTCTGTGCATCCGTCATCGGAGTGGTGGGCCACTCCTCCCAATCAACAGCCTTGTGAACGCCTGATGCTTCTTGCGCAGAGTCAGATGTCGGACCCGGGGTACCTCCATTTACGCTGGCCTGTTCTGCCTGATTCGGCAACTCCGGCAGCTTGAAGTCGGCTTGGGCCTCCTCTTCCGTCTTGGTGCGCTTCGCGTCAGGAATGTCGTCATCGTCATCCTCGCGGGGGCGCACCTTGCCAGAGGAAGGGGCATCCTCCATTTCCCGGTCCACGATCGCCGGTGATTGAGCGGCAGCGGATTGGGGTGCAGTGGCTGCATCGCCATCGGTCTTGATCGTGAGGTCGTGCATTGGCTTGGTAGGCGCTCCGGAGGACTCTGAGGGTTTCGACTCTTCAGGCGCATCGGCGGTGGTGTCCATACTATCTTCAGTCGGGCCTTCCTCTTTGTCGGCTAACTGGGTTTCGGGCACTTCCTGAGTGCTAGCGCCTGTTGCCTGGGTGGCTGAAGAGAGCTCCTCTGCAGTCGCTGGCTCATCGCGTACGTCTGAAGTCGGCGCCTCGACAGCGTTCGCTACCGTAGCACCAACATCCGAGTCGCCGAACAGCGAATTATTGTCCTGGTTTTCGGGTAGGTATTGTGCGACACCATCGATTCCGGCGGATACGTTGGTAGTGGGCTCAACTGCAGGCGCTGACTCGTCCATGTCCACGTGATTTCCGTTGGTAGTGGGTTTTGATTGCGCGGTGGTATCGTCGATGGTGGTGGTCTTGGAGTCGGGTTCGTCAAAGAGTACATCGTGAACACTACTAGGTATTAGTAGGTTGCGCGAGGTGAGAGGAGGGGCGGGTGAAGGTGGAGGGAAGAGCGACTTACCCGTTTGCCTCGGTATCGACTGCCATTGCGTCTGCCGGCGCAAAAGCGCTCGCCTTAAGGTCCAGGGAGGATTTGTCGACAGTAGGTGATGTCATTACTGCCATGGGGCCATGAAAGTCAAAGACGGGTTTGCGCGCGGCTGACAGAGTATATGGTGTGTTTGATGTTGTTGCTAATCTTGGTTCGTTAGCGACTTCCGCTTTAGGCACACGCGACTGCGCAAATATACGCGTGTTAATGACGGACACGGCAATGAGGGAGGGATGGGCGCGTTTGCGGTAAAGGTGGGGTCGCAAAGTGAGGCTAGCGTCGGTGCAGTGACGCGAGGGATGAGGAGGGGCAGCTGCGGACTATATGTTGCAGAGGCTGAAACGCACGTGACTACGTACCAGATGGTGGCGGCGGCGAGGTAGCAGGGCGGCGACGGCAGTCGGTGATGAGTCGGACTTTATAGCGCCGACGCGTTTGTTGTGGTGGGCCAAGCGCGTAGAGGAAGAGGCAATAACGGCGTGGTGCAGCTGTGCGCCCTCTCAAGATGTGCGACAACAACACAAACGTTGGTGATGTGGTGCACGGATGGTGACGGCGGCTTGGGAGCGCAGACGGCGGGCGGTGAGGGCTAGTGTGCAGCGGATGCGGATGCAGACAGACGGGGATGGATGCGCGTATTAATTATGTCGGGTGTAGTGGGTGCAGCCGCCTAGACTTGGGACGCGATATACTGAGCCTTGGGCGGGTGATGAGGTGTGGCGGGGGAGTGCGAGTAAGGTTGGGTGATCGGGAGCAGGCGCGTATTGATTGGAGGCAGATCAGGAAAATGGACTCAAGAACGTCGAAGACAGACGCGAGAGGAGAGGCATTGGGGTTAAGTAGCCCGGCCCTTCCATCTCCGAGCCAAGCCTCAGAGCAGCCCCTGAAGTGCACTAGCCTCGAAGGGAACGTGTCCTTGCCGACTTCTTGACTATGCGCGTCCGCAACGCCGCGTCTGGACATTGTTTACTGCTATTGTAGCATTCTTGAGATGCAGTTGGACTATCACGCTTCCTTGCCGATGAATCTGCTGTTGCAACGGGCGCCGTGAACGCGTCGCAACGAGCTTCACAGCTCTACGCCATGATCCCTGTCCGCGAGGCCCGTGCGTGCAGAGGTGGGTAATTCGCTCTTCCCAAATTTTTTGCGACCACTCGCATCTTGCGCATTGCTTCAGGCTGCAACATTACAGCCTTGTACAAACTTCCGGTGAAGCCTTCGACACGCGCCGCCTGCGATATATCAACACACACGGTGCCCACGAAAATGCCTGCCGCCGTAGCAGCCCCGAAGAATCGCGACCGCCGGCCTGCGAAAAAACCCAAGTTGGCGCTATCGCCTGCGACAGTCCGCCAAAATGGTCTCAAAGCTTTAGTAAATGGAAATGCGGCCAAGCCCACAGCGAAGATAAACGGTGTCAAGAATGCGCAGGCAGACCGAGTCGACGACGCCACTGCTGTTGTGGAAGGACCGGCCGATGCGCACATGGTGGACGCGGACGTCATAGAGATCAGCAGCGCCGAGGAAGAGAGCGATGACGACTCAGACAGCGCGCAAGAAGATCCCACACAGACCAATGCTGAGAACGACGCTGCTGCAGATGACGAGAATGGCGCGGAACCGGAGGAGCTCACATTCGGGGACCGATTACGCGCAGAAGGCCCTGAGCCTGTCCAAGAGTCGCGAATCATAAGCGTCGAAGACGCCTTCGACCCCAACCCGGAGCGCGCAGTAACTGCGACAAAGAACCGCACACTTGCACCACCGAATGCAAACTCTCTCGGCACCGTCCTCACTCAAGCCCTGCGCACCAACGACAAGGAGCTCCTCGATTCATGTCTTCAGGTGGTCGATGTAGAGTCGGTCTACGCTACCGTCGAACGGTTGCCATCGCCGTTGGTTGGAACACTACTGCAGAGATTGGCTGAGAGGCTACACCGAAGTCCCGGTCGAGCAGGCATGTTGATGGCCTGGGTACAATGGAGTCTTGCCGTAAGCAGTCCGGCTCTGAATGGAGAAAGCATCGACTAACACTTACCTGATAGGCCCACGGAGGATACCTCGCTTCCCAGCCCCAAATCGTCAAGCAACTCACCGCACTGAACAAAGTTTTGAAAGAGCGATCGAGCGGGCTGATGCCGCTCATGTCATTGAAGGGTCGCCTGGATATGCTACAAGCTCAACTTGATCTCAGGAAACGGAACCAAGCCGCCAACGACGATGCGGACGAAGCACTGGTATACGTCGAGGGACAGGACGATTACGTCTCTGAGGACGAGTCGGTTGAGGGAGCCACTGCAACCCCGAAGCGATCGCGCCCGGAGATGGAGGAAGACGATGAAAGCTCGTCAGACGATATGGGCCTGAACATGGAGATGGATGACGTCTCCGACGAGGGTAGTGAAGGTTCTGACGAAGACCTCATCGACGATGAAGCAGAAGAGACGGATGATGACGAGGGCGAGGACATGTCAGAGCCTTTGAGCGATGATTTGGATGACGGTGAATCCGAGAGCGGAGACGAATCGAAACCGGAGCGACGATCAACAGCTGCTCGGGCTGGACTCAAAAGCCGGCGCTGAGTGTTGAAGAGGAAGTTCGTAATTCTTGTACAGTCTACGACGGCCCGCGAACCACACTACTTGGCGCGTCCGATCATCCAAAATTGGGATTCACGCATAGGCGTTCATCTATGGTGGCGTTGATACCTTACTTACGGCAATCTACACGAAGTTTAGATTTCTTCTACATACCGCATCCCGGGAGTATCCCACACATGACCAATGGAAGATTATTGCAGCTAATCCGGCTGTTTGTCGGTCTGAGACATGTCTTTCCCCTGTGGTTAGTTGGAGATCTCTAATCTCATCTAGTCTGCACAACGTATTGCCATCTCGCCATACAATGTTTTCATCGCCGATTACATGACAGCACTCTTGTTTATTCACAATCCAAATGCCGATCCTATATACCAAGAACACGCGTGTACACGCCAAAGTCTTCAGATCCAACGACGAATTGTCTGAACCAGGACCACATCAACACCTCACACGCAGGCCGACCGAAGAACCCTACACTCCTTTCCATTCTACCAATCCACAGTCTAAACCGCGGTCGAAGAAGGTCTATGCTACCATTAGATCGTGACGGCAATTTTTTAAAGCGCAACAGCCCTTATCCTATCCTACGCCGCACAGCTTCAGGTCATCTCTTCCAGCTTGGTACTCCGACAGTTCACGGACTTTAGTTACACAATTTGAGCTCCTCCCCAACGAATCCTGTGAACAGGTACTACACACCGACGCGTGTATTGCTAAGGCGTACGAATTAGCCGGACTATATCGCAACATTAGCATAGAGAAGAGAAGCGGACTATGGATCGCATTGCGGAATCTCAGCGCCGATACGAAATCTACAAGAAGGAAGCATGCGACGTCCGCCACGTGACTTCTTGTCACAATCTCAATGCCCATTATAAGCGCGATGGAGGCGAGGGCGGAGGGCATTACTGTAAGATAGACGAGTCTAAGCGCTACGATTTGAATGACTATCGTCGGACTGACCGTCTAGTACTCAGCGGCCTGACACACACGAAATTAAGGAAGGATCCTGATCTGCGAGAGTGGCTTGTTCCAGCTACTTCCTCGAGCAGCTCATCGGAGGGGACGGATGAGGACAACATGACTGACAATGAGGATATATGGTCGCAGGCCGGAAAGGATGAAGGAGAGGGAGGCTCTAAATGAGGACATTCTCAAAAAATTCGCTGACGCCCAGAGAGGTTTTGTTCTCCTGGTTTTTCTTTGCTCTCCATCTTCTCTACACATTCGGCGATACATTTTATCTTCTTTATCACGGTTCCATTTCGCCATGTTCATCATGATGATCTTGATTGCTCATCAATCCTCCTTCGACCAGCATCTAGCATGCATTCGATATTTCACCATTCTTCCTCCGTCAAACATGTACCTTTACAGTGTTGTTGCCCAAACACGTCGGCCCTGCCTTTTCTCCACACTTTGAGAGGAAGTTTCCGGTGAGCTGCTCTCAACCGGATTGAGACATATCGCCTGCGACTAACATGCCATCTCACCCTTGGGGCTCGATGAGTGCCAGACAACGCAAGTATGAAATTGAGAGGATGGAAGCTTGCGACGTTCCACACAAATCGCGTGACGGAGATCTTCGGGCTACTTTTCGAGCAGACCAAAGTGAGAACGCCGCTGAGCCGGCGGTGAGTTCTGCTACATCTCCTGGGTCTGGCATTTCAAATGCACGATCATCATCTCCTGCAACAATCCCTTCCGCGGCAGTCGATCGGTCGTCTCGTCGTCACGGAATAGTCGGCATTGAGCAATTGTACGATAGAGAACATCTTCACCCAGCGCCTTTCCCGTCTCCAAGGTATACCAAGCCAGCACCAACAAACAGGTTTTCCAGGCACATCGTCGCCTGCCCACCATTCTCGAGCAAAGAAGAATGGGAAGAAATCCGCGCAGAAATTCCGATGAGATTCGCAAATGCGGAAACGCTACCGCCAGCTCGAACGTCTGTCCCTCCAACAGCCCTCGTACAACAAGAGACACTTACCGTCTCACACGAATCTCTGATAGATGACACTTCTGAAGTCAATCGCAGCAATCGAAATTCCTATAGCTCACACGTTCGATCAATACATATGCGTTGCAGCCAGGTTTACCAACACGAGTATAGGCAAGGTTCCGCTCGAACTGACTCTGTTACTGACTCCGACAACGGCGAAGCGCCCAAGAGACGAGAGCGCAAGTACACCGTAGTCAATCAAACCACCAACACACGCTCTGTTTTAGGCAAATGCGACACAGATACAGAAAGCCATACCACAGAATTGCCCGATGAACCAGCACCTGAATACATTGCTCTTGAACAAAACGATGGACCACGCTCTGTTCTAAGCGACTGCAACACAGACACAGATAGCAATGCCACAGAAAAGCGGAACAGGCGAGGAGCTGTCTACGTCGATCTTGGACAGTATGACAGACAACGGATTGCTTTAAGCGATTGCGACACCGAAAGTAAAGCAGGTAGCGAT